AATAATAATAAGGCTTGCTGAATGGTAAATAACGTTATTATATGAAATAATAATTTGAAAAAAGAATTAAATAATATATTTTTTCCCAGTGTCCAGAAACAATGAGTTGTAAAACCCTTTGGCTCAGCACTAAGGATATCGCAACCCTTCTGCCTTGATTCTATGTTAGATACCGTAAATCTGAGAGAAATTTGGCTTTTCTGCCTACCCTAGGGCGTGAACCGAGACCACAAGGAGTTCGTAACCCGGACGCCGCTAAGTCAGGTTTAACCAACTACGCTGTCGAGCAGGGCTAAAGAGAATTTCTGTAAACAAATTGGATTCTTACACAAGAGTCACGGTGTCCCTGTCACAGACTTACATTTATACACTACGGATTCTGCGAAGTGATTGTCTGTCTTAAGGCGCGTCTCAGAAACCTGAGCTTACACAACATAGTCGCTAGTTTATGGGACCCGGATGTTGAAGAAACTTTCGTTTTGCACGTGAGGACTTTTAGGCGCGGTACTGGCTGAGTGGTACAGAATTAATTTCATCTGCCGTTATACCAGGTAAAGGGGCGGGTATGGTCGCTTGTATTTTCCAAGATAAGTTTCCTCCACCCAGATCCCTGTCATTTTGGTCGGAATCTTCTTTGACGAAAGGAGAGGGGGGAGGGGATGGGACCAGGAAAGGAAATAGGTCGCTGAAACGTAATTAGTTAGGTGGGTGCCGAAGTTAGAATGATTACATACATGAACAAGTGAATGTTCATTCACTATAGACCGGACGGGCTGAGAGATTGCTTACGCCGCCTTTATCACAAATATTGTCTGTCTGAATTATTAGGGCATTGGGTTTCGCTAAGTGGCGGAGAGGGAGTCGCCGTGGCCGAGCGGCTAGTCGGTTCGGAAGGTCGTGGGTTCGCTCCCTGGCAGAGCCGGACTATTTTAAAAAAAAATGACCTTGGCTCCCAGGTCGACCCAGCCTTGAGTGAGTACCGGGTGCGGTCCCGGGAAGTAAAGGCGGCCGGCGTGATGCTGACCACATCACCCATCTTGTGCCGATTGGTCTATTAATATATAGGTCTAGCCCTATATGCCCTATACGCCTGCAGTTGGATCAAAGAAGAAGAAGCAGTGGTGGAGATTTCTGTTTGTATCGGGGAAGGGGGCAGAAATACCCTAACGGGTAAAGTTCACTGTGACTGCCTTAGCCAGGCTATAAATCCTAAGTCTCTGTACCGCCCTAAAAGTAGTAAATACATGTAATAAGGACGGGGGAAATGGGGGGCGACGTGTTTAATCTCAGTTAGTCTTAATTCTAATTTTCTTGTTAGCATTTCCTGGTTGTAAACCCTGGGCGGAAAGAAAGTTATGGCTATTTAGTATTATAATTCAGCTTTGATCTTGACTTTTGCATGCGCATCCGGTTTGCAGATCTGGCTTATTTGTATGCAGACTAATGATAATGAAATCGTGCATTCCCCTATTCTATTTCGTAGTGAGATCAATGAAAAGTTCCTTAAATAAGGACGGGATTAAAGTAGCGAGAACACCGTGTATTGCACAACGATTTCCCCAAGTACATACTGCAACATAAATTGCATCAGTATAATAAAGCACATCCCGGAAATACGCCCAGCAGAATATTTGTTTCTGTCCTATTTAGTTTAATTCACAAAAGGAAACATTGATTTGAAAAATGACAAACCGCAGGAGGCCGTTGCTGACAGTATAGAATAAGATATACTTTAGTTTCACATGGGCTATAAATGCATTGCCTAACTATTGGGTTGTGATTGCATTGCCTAACTATAGCACATTAAAAAACTATTGTCTGCAAAGACGGAACGGGGTTGACAACAAACCAGTAACATTTGACCAGTTCACTAATAGTTCTTTTAGATGCACTCTCTCATGAGAAACGCCACCAGTCTTCCTTAGTTCTGTAGGATGCTCACTCTCATGAGAAACGCCACCAGTCTTCCTTAGTTCTGTTAGATGCTCACTCTCATGAGAAACGCCACCAGTCTTCCTTAGTTCTGTTAGATGCTCACTCTCATGAGAAACGCCACCAGTCTTCCTTAGTTCTGTAGGATACACACTCTCATGAGAAACGCCACCAGTCTTCCTTATTTCTGTTAGATGCTCACTCTCATGAGAAACGCCACCAGTCTTCCTTAGTTCTGTTAGATGCTCACTCTCATGAGAAACGCCACCAGTCTTCCTTAGTTCTGTTAGATGCTCACTCTCATGAGAAACGCCACCAGTCTTCCTTAGTTCTGTAGGATGCACACTCTCATGAGAAACGCCACCAGTCTTCCTTAGTTCTGTTAGATGCTCACTCTCATGAGAAACGCCACCAGTCTTCCTTAGTTCTGTAGGATACACACTCTCATGAGAAACGCCACCAGTCTTCCTTAGTTCTGTTAGATGCTCACTCTCATGAGAAACGCCACCAGTCTTCCTTAGTTCTGTTAGATGCTCACTCTCATGAGAAACGCCACCAGTCTTCCTTAGTTCTGTAGGATACACACTCTCATGAGAAACGCCACCAGTCTTCCTTATTTCTGTTAGATGCTCACTCTCATGAGAAACGCCACCAGTCTTCCTTAGTTCTGTTAGATGCTCACTCTCATGAGAAACGCCACCAGTCTTCCTTAGTTCTGTTAGATGCTCACTCTCATGAGAAACGCCACCAGTCTTCCTTAGTTCTGTTAGATGCTCACTCTCATGAGAAACGCCACCAGTCTTCCTTAGTTCTGTAGGATGCACACTCTCATGAGAAACGCCACCAGTCTTCCTTAGTTCTGTTAGATGCTCACTCTCATGAGAAACGCCACCAGTCTTCCTTAGTTCTGTAGGATACACACTCTCATGAGAAACGCCACCAGTCTTCCTTATTTCTGTTAGATGCTCACTCTAATGAGAAACGCCACCAGTCTTCTCTAGTTCTGTTAGAGGCTCACTCTCATGAGAAATCCCACCAGTCTTCTCTAGTTCTGTTAGAGGCTCACTCTCATGAGAAATCCCACCAGTCTTCTCTAGTTCTGTTAGAGGCTCACTCTCATGAGAAATCCCACCAGTCTTCTCTAGTTCTGTTAGATGCTCACTCTCATGAGAAATCCCACCAGTCTTCTCTAGTTCTGTTAGAGGCTCACTCTCATGAGAAATCCCACCAGTCTTCTCTAGTTCTGTTAGAGGCTCACTCTCATGAGAAATCCCACCAGTCTTCTCTAGTTCTGTTAGAGGCTCACTCTCATGAGAAATCCCCACCAGTCTTCTCTAGTTCTGTTAGAGGCTCACTCTCATGAGAAATCCCACCAGTCTTCTCTAGTTCTGTTAGATGCTCACTCTCATGAGAAATCCCACCAGTCTTCTCTAGTTCTGTTAGAGGCTCACTCTCATGAGAAATCCCACCAGTCTTCTCTAGTTCTGTTAGAGGCTCACTCTCATGAGAAATCCCACCAGTCTTCTCTAGTTCTGTTAGAGGCTCACTCTCATGAGAAATCCCACCAGTCTTCTCTAGTTCTGTTAGAGGCTCACTCTCATGAGAAATCCCACCAGTCTTCCCTAGTTCTGTTAGAGGCTCTCTCTCATGAGAAACGCTGCCAGTCTTCTCTAGTTCTGTTAGAGGCTCTCTCTCATGAGAAACGCTGCCAGTCTTCTCTAGTTCTGTTAGAGGCTCTCTCTCATGAGAAACGCTGCCAGTCTTCCCTTGATACCTCTTGTTACCCTAACTCCTTTTTAGGGTGCGAAGTGGTTGTTTCCCTCACGCAGCAGTTTTTATGGGGTCACTGTCTGGGCAGTCGGCTAGCTGTTCTTCACTAGCTACAGATTCAAACAGGGGATAGAATCAAGAAGATTGACTTCACTACACCGGGTGATATTCAGTATGGCTTGTCAGTCTTCACAGAACCTCCTTAAATACAGAGGAGGACCGGGAGGAGAAAGCATCTGAGGTTGTAAGGTGTGCACTGTAACTGGCTGTGCCCTAGCACAATTATGAAAAGTAAAAATAACAACCCCAAATTTAACACATGGAACTCCTTTGTATAGATGTTTAGAGCAAAGGAATGCTACCATATTAGTTGTGTGTATGTATATGTATAGAATGGACACTTTCTAGGCTAGATTTATTGGGCAGTGATATGTTAAAGAAAGCCATAGGAATGAATAATCTCACACAATGGGAGTTACTGCTCCGCTTGCCAGTTTGCTTCACATGAAGATGGGCCTGCCTGAGGTCAGTAGTTTAGAAAACCCCTCATTTCAGGGATGGAATCCTAAACCATTATTGTAGCATCCAGACTTGCCCAGCTGATGTGTTGCGGTACAGAGGAATACTTTCTATCTCATCGTCATCATCATCATCACTGTAGTGCCATAAGGCTGTTTACCTTTGGATCACCAGGTGCAATGACTGTCTGTTCCGTACCCACCCTTTCTCACCTGGCCTTGGTCAGATGCAGTTGACTTGATGATGTTATGCATGTCTGAAGCATGTTGTTCAGCCAAATTCTGTATCCAGATCTGTATTCTTCTACCTTTTCTCCTCTACTGAGCACTGTGGTATCATTTTGTTATTTAGTTATCTTTATTTAGTTATGTTTGATAGTTATACATCTGTTGTTGAGTAAAGCCCTTTTCTTTAAAAAATGTCTTGTAAAACCAAAAGTTATTGGTTGGAGCACATAAAGAGAATGCTAGAAAACAGCTAAGCAAAAAACTGTACACAAGATAGTTGATGAGAGTTGACATCATGGGTAAACCAAGATGATGATGTAGAGATAGTATTCAGTCAGTCATGCAAACACTTGAAGTCACCAACAGGAAAGAGAGGGCCAGCCATAGAGATGGGTGTATCTGCAGCAGTGAACCTCTGGAGCTTTTAATGCTGACGAAGAAGAAGAAGAAAACCAAGAAGAAGGAGGAAAAAGGGGGGGGGGGTGGAATTCACAGTTGATTGTATAAAGTGGTTCTTGTGGTGAATCTCATATTGTCTTCTTATGTCTACAGGATGTAGGAGATGGTTGGTGGGAGGCCAAGAACTCTAAAGGAGAGGAAGGTCTAATCCCTGAGACGTATGTTGAGGTTGGTAGCATTGACTTTCTACACGCTTTGTTTCGGCTTGTTATCGTCTGTGTATTGCATGGTAGAAAAATAGGTTGTATTTCATGGAAACAAATAAATCAAATTCAGATGTTCTTACGAGAGTGCGGAAGAAAAGAAAATACTGAAATAAATAAAAGAAGAGATAATTGAAATATTTTCGTACCATTATTTTTAATATTAAAGACATAACACTCTTGTAAAAGCAAAAGCTATATTCAGGGGAAAGTAGAGAGCAAGAGACAGACAATGATATAAGTGAGGGGACATCAAGAGATTAATGAACAGTCCAAAAGAGTGTACTGCCAAGACAGTAAGCAGAGCATGTTGGAGATCCATTGCAGTCAACCTTTATTGTGAAGATGGCACCTGATTTGTGGTACAGCATACTGATGATAATGTCCTGCAGTATTTTTACTAAATGAAGAGTGAAAAGCAACAATAAAATTCATAATTTGTTTAAATCACTACTAATTACTGACATCATGAGTGCCAATGGACAGCAATAGTTTGGGTATATAGAGAGAATGTCAGATAACAGAAATCCTAAAAACTGCTTGCACAAAAGAGTTAATGGGTGTGTACCATGAGGCAGACCAAGAAAACTATGGAGAGATACCAGAGATGGTAAAAAAGTAATGCCTCTTACGTTTTATCTGTGCAGCCACTGTATTGGTGTAGGGTTTGTAAATATATCAGGATTCCTTAACCAGTCTTCTGCACTGTCTTGCATTACCAACCTGTTTCAGTAACAGGCGGCACCAATGTAACGATGGTTCACAAAGACGTACGGTTAAAAGAACGTGGTGTTATAGTATTCCTCAATGCTGAAGGCGAGATCCCAATTCGCATCCATGAATATTTGAAGAATGTTTATGGAGATTCAACAGTGGATGTTAGCACTGTCTGGTGCTGGGTACATCGTTGTGATGAAGCTGAAGTAGGTCAGTCCTCAATGGCTGAATCAAAGCGGACTGACTGTCAGTCTACTGCAATTAGTCCACAAAACATTCCTCGAGTTGATAACATCATTCTTGCTAGATGAACTGTATTCCATATCAAGTAAAGGCATTGTCCAGACCATCAGCTGATTCAGTTATTTTATTTTCATCTTTATTTGCAGATAGTGTCAGTGCCCGAACCTCAGTTCCCTCCACCACCACCTCCTTTGGCAGCGAACACTTTCCCATCAGCTCCTGCTGCGTCTCCAAACAATGGATATCTGGACTCACCATCAGACCGAGGCAGGGGTAGCTTTGACACACAGCAGAGCACTGATGACTGGGAGGACGAATGGGACGATGATGATGATGATGCCTCCAGTACAAGTACAACAGGCTACAGCCATGTATGTCTATATGTTTAGCTGGTTAGGTAATAGTTGTTTATGATAGTAGTGGTTGTGATGATGATGACGCCTCCAATACAACAGGCTACATCATGTATGTTCTTCAGTTTAGCTAGTAGTTTAGTGTAGTAGTTGTTTGTGTTAATAGTGGTTGCTAAAATGCTGATACCTCCAGTACAGTTACAATTATCTGTTACCAGGTCTGTTCAACAATTTAGCTGATTGTATAATAGCTGTGAAGTGCTGATGGTTGAAGAAGATATATTCAATAAGTCGTCAGCATTTTGTAAATTGAGTCCATTTGTAGCTGTAAATCTGGTTTCATCGAGATAGGAGAGATGTTTGCCAGACAGGTAACATCCTAGAGACTAAAAATATTTTCTAATTGGGAATTTAAATAATGAACACAAACATTATATTGCCTGGCATATTTTGCTGAATCTCGTCAGGCGTATTTAAACATTGTTTCTCTGGCCTCTTCACAAGGACAAATAACTGATGGAACTGGTAATCTGGTAATCCTAGTTTCAGCTTCATAGCAAATGGGTCACCCCATAGTTGCTCTGCTCCTGTGCCAACGAAAAACACAAGTAGCTCACAGTGTCACGCCATGCACTCAACTCAGAAGCTGGGCGACGAAACTATATCCTTCCAGTCTACAAATGGAGCAAAAATGCAACGGCCACCGTCTGATAAAAAAAAAAAGGTGGCCGTGCTTAGCGTCCATTTTGACCTGAAGCATTATATGAGGGTTAATAAACGGTCACCCCAGCAGTACCCTCATTATTAGCTGGGGAAGGGACTTAGGACATTACATCCACCAGCAGGTGTCGCCCCTACAACGACCTGCCTGCCTTTGTTAACGACTGTTCACCCAACAGCCATGCAGTTCTTTGGCACGAAGGAGACACCTTGAACTTGGGTTTCGGAATGCCGACTCCCTACAAGATGTTATTTTATGTTTTGTTATCACACTTGATGTCACTGCACATTGGGCATACCCATGCGTGCTCAGTTCTCCGAAGCAGCAGCCACTGCTAAGTACTTCTAATTGTCTCCATGAGAAGCTGGTTATATCGTCTCCTTTCTCGGCCCCGAAGACGGCAAAAACGTGCATCACCATGCTTAACTCCCTTGTCACGCAATCGTGTTAGTGTCAGGGATTCCTCATTCTCCACTAGCCCAGTTCGTACAGCGTTGATGATATCTGCTCTGTCCATGCTTTTCCCCCGCAATCATTGGTGCAGTGCTTGCCAGTTGGTCCGCTCGCTCATTTCCCTGTGTGTAGATCCAGGTTACGGAGGTTAAGTACGATTTCCGAATGCTTTCTATCCATTCAGAGCGCATACTGCCTGTTGCTATCTTCTGAAGCATATTCACTGAGTCTGAGACAATTACTGCCTATGTGACGGTTTGCTCGGATACCCACGCTAAAGTTCTAGAAGCAGCGGCTATTTCCATTGTCATGCTTGACATGGTTTGTCTGGTAAGCGCCGCTGTCCTCATGTATTGTTTTCCCCCTTCTTTGCGCTGTGTATGCCTATGCGCTGACCTTGATCCGCGCTTCACGGATCCATCTGTGTAGATGATGATATCTTCTGGGTCTGAATGCTGATCTATCAGTTCCCTTACTTCTGTGTCTACAGCCGCAGGAATTTGATCCCTGCAGTACCTTCCGAGTGTGATGACAACCTTAGAGATGCCATGCATGTCTACTGGTGTATTCGTCCATTCTTTTCCGTGACTGATCACGTCTAGGTCACATACCTGCTGGATTAAATCCTCAGCCTTTGCCATCAAGAGCGGCCTCTTTTGAGACGCGTTCCTTTTGTGTCGTGTATAGCTTTGTTTAATGGGTGGTTAACGTCTGCCGATACCCTCATGTAAGCGTTGACTTGTGCCACTTTGCATCTGTTAGTCATCGTCGGCAATGTACCTGTAAAGATCTGTTATACTAACTTTTCCCCTCCAGTATTCCTTTGTGCCTTGTCCAACATCAGACAAAAATAGAAGATATCATCAAGACAAAACAGTGTCAACACTTGGACATTTTGACAATAAATTACCAGTTTTTGATTATTGTTTCGTTTAGGTGATTTGACACTTTAATTTATGTGAATGTTTTTCTCTCAGCTCTTGTTTATAGTGGTTACCATTTTTATTTTTATTCTCTTTTTTTTATAGTGGGGGGTGGGGGGCACCTTGTCATATATTTAAGGGTGGTGTCAATTTAAAAAGGTGAAAACACCAGGTTTAAGCAAAGTTTGTGATGCCTTTGAAGTAAAGATCATTTGACCACAAAGGCTTATCCTGACATGTTGTACACTCTGGATTCACCCCTTGTGTAGACTATTTGTGTACAGAGCACTTATTTATGTTAGTCCATCTAACCTGTATGTTTACGCACTGATACTCCTTCGTATCTGTCAACAACCAAGTATTTAGGCCTAGGGTGCCTACTGATATATTCCGCTGGATCTCTCCTTGATGGATGTGCTTCAGTCCTGCATAGTATAATAACTGGCACACTTGGCACAGCACCAGCTAATACAGCTGTTACTATCGAGTCAATAATAACGCTTGTGACAGGCCACATAAACTTTAATGTAATTCACAGTATACGGCACAAGATGATGATGATTATTCATTAACATATGTACGATAATAAATCTCTATTATCTACACAGACGATATAAAAGATTACAATCTTTTCTCAATGGACTCCTGCCATTATAAACAGACATTAAACTGTCTCCCGCAAACAACGGCAAAATCAAAACCTCACAAAGAGAAACGTTTCTATAATATCCTCATACAGAGAGCCAACACAATGTTTCCGCTAACACACGTCTGACTTCGACGCTAGCGAAATCTCAACTCCTCGAGCCTTTGTCTTCTATCCCCAGAATTCATTTAGCTCGTATAATTACCTTTCGCCTAGGTAACGACTGGTGGCTGCCACATGACTTTTACCTGTGTTCTTCTTGCTAGATGAAACTTGGCCAAATAAGATTACAACATGACAAATATTTTTCAGTTTTACACGTTTGACCTGAATATCTCAATAGAAAACATATATTCATATTAAGTACATGTCTTGTCTTACTTAACAGGATTTGGGCGGTCAGGGAAATTTTGGACTCGGAGTTCGACAACAAAGAGACAGCAAGCAGATGTCACCTGGCAGTGAAATGTCAAAATATGGGACGGTAAAAAGTAGTTTTAATAGGTGAGATATGTGGCTTCATGTCTGTTTTACCAAATGTCATTTTTCTCATTCTCGCCTTCTGCTTCAACTTTAGTGATTATTTTTATGACCCCTCTCGGCTGCTTCCTGAAGGATCAGCACTACAGCAACTCAGAGAGCTGCATTGTTAATGCTGATCCTTCTTCTTCTGCTTTCATCTGAAGATACAATTGCATTGTGTCAGTTTACAGCTTGGCTGAGATATTTGCACTTTTGGGCTGACACATCTGACTTCAGCAGGCATTTGCTGACCAGGTTAGCCTTTCCTGGTAATGCTGATTCAACAGAAACAACTTCCAGATATCCAGTTAAAAATTAGTTTTAGTGTAGGTATTGGGTTACTTTAGGGTTACAGTAAGTAATATTTTGGTGAATTCTGCTCTTCTGAGTTTAATGGGATTCCCTCCCTTGTTTTAAATGGGGAAACAATGAATAGTAACTCTGTAACATAACCTGTATGCTTTCTTCTCTCCTCAGCGTTCACCAGCTGTAAACGCCGACAAAAAGTTCTGGTTCATCCACTTTTGGACTTTGGTCTTTTTCCAGATCTTGAGTTTTACGTGCACATCAGGTTTTACAAATCTGGCTTATTTGTGTGCAGACTGTTGGGTTCTTGCCTCTCAGACAAATGCACTCAGAATGAAGGAAACACCCCCTAATTAGTCTCTTCCTGTGACATGCTTGTTAGGGGGCAGTGAGCCTGTCCACCCCTGCCTCCCCCCTTTCCCAGTGGATCCATGGAACCAACACAGAAAAGGTATATATTGTCAAGAGGCAATCAGGGGCGGTTGGGATTGGCTACCTTATCATGCAGAGTCCCTGTGTGGGTTTTGGGGCCCCATTATGGAAAACAGAGACTAGACCCACTGCCTCCCTCCTAACAAACATGTCACAGGAGGAAACTAATTAGGGTTTGTTACCTTTAAAGTTGGAATGCATCTGAGAGGTAGGAACCAATGTCTACATATATATAAGCCAGATCTGTCAAACGGATGTGTACACAAAACTCAAGATCAGGATTTGACCCAGCATCCAGGAGTCGACAAACATCAACCAGAACCTTATGCTGGAGTGAGCGCTAAGAAGAAGAAGAAGAAGATCATGCAGAAAACTTTCTCTTCAAATTTAGCCAGTCATGAAGAATCTACAAAGGGATTGGCTAGAGTTGATTGCAGATTAACTGCTCTGTTGGAAGATAACAGGCAGAACAAGAATTCAACACACTGCATGGATCATGAGAAGGACACTGTGCCTTATGCCTTAACACTCCTTCACAATTTGTCTGTTGGTGCTGCTCTTGTGGATTAGATTTACATACTCTGGAATTGTCTTTAGTGCTGCACAGCAGAACCACTGCTGTAGGTGTTCTTTCTGTGACTCTGGCTGTTTGGCAGGTGTTCTCACTGTGACTCTGGCTGTTTGGCAGGTGTTCTCACTGTGACTCTGGCTGTTTGGCAGGTGTTCTCACTGTGACTCTGGCTGTTTGGCAGGTGTTCTCACTGTGACTCTGGCTGTTTGGCAGGTATTCTCACTGTGACTCGGGCCCTTTTGCAGGTGCTCTCACTGTGACTCTAGCTCTGTTGCAGGTTTTCCCACTTCAACTCTAGCTCTGTTGCAGGTTTTCTCACCTTAGCTCTGATACTGTAAGTTTTTACACCTAACTCTCATTCTACAGGTTTTCATACTTTAACTGTTAAGAAGAAGAAGCAAAAGAGCTCTTATCTTTTGCAGATTTTCTCACCTCAACTCTTTCCACAGGTTTTCTCACTTTAACTGGCTCTGCTATAGGTTTTCTCACTTTAACTTTGATTCTGTTGCAGGTTTTCTCACTTTAACTATGATTCTGTTGCAGGTTTTCTCATTTTAACTTTGATTCTGTTGCAGGCTTTCTCACATTAACTATGATTCTGTTGCAGGTTTTCTCACTTTAACTATGATTCTGTTGCAGGTTTTCTCACTTAAACTATGATTCTGTTGCAGGTTTTCTCACTTAAACTATGACCCTGTTGCAGGTTTTCTCACTTTAACTTTGATCCTGTTGCAGGTTTTTTCACTTTAACTATGATTCTGTTGCAGGTTTTCTCACTTAAACTATGATTCTGTTGCAGGTTTTCTCACTTTAACTTTGATTCTGTTGCAGGTTTTCTCACTTTAACTTTGATACTGTTGCAGATTTTCTCACTTTGCCAAGTCTGGTGGTGAAGCCTTCCTCATGGGGTTATCTAATGACAGGGTTCCAGAAAGTGACAAGATCAAAATAGTTGTAAGTTGTTTCCACAATTTTGTTACTCTTCTTTCACTTGCAGGGTAAGATGGCACAAGTGAGGGGAGAAAAAAAAAAATGGCCATCCAGTCTATCAGAAGGGAACAAACAAAGCCAGGCCAGTGGTGACTGCCACTTGCTTCTCAGGACAGGGCATAACAAGTTAAACAAATATGCTCAGCCAGTGTACCCATGCATGCTGTAAGCCTGATCTGCAGAACATGTCCTGCAAGACTGGCCCTTGTACAGCTCATTAAGAATAGAATACTAGCCCAGTGAGTCAGCACTGAGCTCATAATTATATGGAATTAAAGAGGACCTCCAAAACCCAGTCACTTTAGTCACAAGAACTCGTCTGTAGGTGTAAACGAAGGAAGCAGTCACAGAAAGAAAATACAGATGGCACCTGTTTTCATGCCCTGTGATATTGGATGTATGGATCTCGTCCCCTATTTTTATAGACCATTTGGCACTTTGGGAGATGAATGGTCGTAGACCACAAGGCAGACCAAGAAGACGATGGAGAGATAATGTCTAGACAGACCTGCAAACACTTGGTGCCGCCAAGTGGAAAGAGAAGGCCAACCAGAGAGATAAATGGAGGCAAGTGATACCTGCAGCAGTGAACCTCAAGGGCTCGGAATGCTGAAGAAGAAGATTTGGCACTTGATAGGTGATGTGTTCTTGAAAGAAACTGACTAAAGTTCACTGTCAATTTCATGTTTTCCTTACAAGGCACGCATCAGCATAACTGTGCAGTTATCTTCAATTAGCATCTCTCAGTCTGTTCATGCTTACATTATAATTACTAATCAATGCCATCCATCTGACTACTGACACATAATTTATGTTCAGTGGTCAATGTCTTAATTTTCAAACACGACTCCTTTCACATGCTGTCCATATTGTTGTATACCTTTCACTCTCCAAGTACTGCAAGAGGTAAACTCACAGAAACATTGCATCACCCATCAGTATTTAGACACATAATGATGGGAAAAAATCTGTTGAAGAGAAGAATTTTAAGTTCTGAGGTTTATAGAAGAAGAAAGCGCTGGTTGGGTTGACAGTGACCTGGAAGATGATCATCAGTCCAACCTGCCAGCAGATGTTTACAGAGGAATAGTATCGCATACACTGCTCAGCAGGGCATGTGTTGATGATAATTGTAAAGGTGATTTAGTTTGCAGTGTATTTTTTGATTCATTGTTTTGTGAAGTCTATTAGGTTATTCATGTTTGTATTATACCAGGTTCTGAAGATGGCTCTGTTTGGTTAGTTTCATGACTCATTGTTCTGAGAAACCCATTAACATTTTGAGTCCCAAGGAACGCATCGTATGTTCATACCTAGAAGCCCAGTGAATGCATGATGCCCCAATTTTCTGCCCCTCTTTACTACCCCTTGTGCCTGTGATGCTAAACCCACTGGGACCGAAAGAGTTATATGATTCATGTTTTTATTATCTCAGGATTCTAAAGCTAGTGCTTTGTGGTTAGTTTATTGAATCATTGTTTTGTTACGTCCAGTAAATGATTCATGTTTTTATTATTTCAGGAATCTGAAGATGGCCCTGGGTGGCTGATTCAAGATGGTGCCTACACTTGTGTCATCTCTGACCCAAAGAAGGAAAGCAAAATGAAAGGGTTAAAGACATTTATGGCTTACCAGCTCACACCCTCAGTAAGTGATTCATTTCGAAACTCTTCTGTTACTGTCAAACAGTCCTTGTAACTTATTTAGTAAAGCATCCTGGCTATCAAATTACTGTATAAAGCATGCACACATGGTGTATACAGATGTATTTGGCATAGAGTATTTCAGAATTCTGCAGGTCACGAAGCTTCTGGATCATTCCTTAGCTCTCTTCCTGTCTTGTGCCACTCTTATGCCATGTATATCTATCCGCTTTTGTCAAAATGTGTATATCTTCATGTGTCTGTTTTATCAATGTCTTGGTCTACCCCTTCCTCTTTGACCCACTATTTGACATTTTAATATTTTTTTTTCAGTATGGGACCAAGCCATGAGGGCCTTCAGTAAGATATACATAATCACACTTGACAGTAATGAAATGTCAAAGACTGGCCTGACCCATTTGTCTCTGCTTTCATGCAAGGCTACTTGTTACAACCTGTTGTCCAGAATTCAGTTGGCAGATAAGAAAGAATTTGAAAATAAACCTTAGTCTGATAAACAGATTTTAACTAGCTTGGAAAACAGTTTTTGCCTAGTCTAGTGAATTTTTTTTTGCCTTATCTGGTAAACAGTTTTTGCCTAGTCTAGTAAATACTTTTTGCCTAATCTGGTAAACAGTTTTGCCTAGTCTAGTAAATACTTTTTACCTAATCTGGTAAACAGTTTTTGCCTAATCTGGTAAACAGTTTTTGCCTAATCTGGTAAACACTTTTTGCCTAGTCTAGTAAATACTTTTTACCTAATCTGGTAAAAAAAAATTTGCCTAGTCTTGTAAACAGTTTGTGCCAAGTCTAGTAAACACTTTTTGCCTAATCTGGTAAACAGTTTTTGCCTAGTCTAGTGAACACTTTTTGCCTAATCTGGTAAAAACATTTTACTTAGTCTGGTAAACAGTTTTTGCCAAGTCTAGTAAACACCTTTTGCCTAATCTGGTAAACAGTTTTTGCCTAGTCTAGTGAACACTTTTTGCCAAATCTTGTAAACAGTGTTTGCCTAGTCTAGTAAACACTTTTTGCTTAATCTGGTAAACACTTTTTACCTAGTCTGGCAAACACTTTTTGCCTAGTCTAGTGAACACTTTTTACCTAGTCTGGCAAACACTTTTTGCCTAGTCTAGTGAACACTTTTTGCCTAATCTGGCGAACAATTTTTGCCTAATCTGGTAAACAGTTTTTGTCTGGTCTAGTGAACTCTTTTTGCCTAGTCTAGTAAACACTTTTTACCTAGTCTGGTAAACACTTTTTACCTAATCTTGTAAACATTTTTTGCCTAGTCTAGTGAACACTTTTTGCCTAATCTGGTAAACAGTTTTTGTCTAATCTGGTAAACACTTTTTGCCCTAATCTGGTAAACAGTTTTTTCCTAGTCTGGTAAACAGTTTTTGCCTAATCTGGTAAACAGTTTTTGCCTAATCTAGTAAACAATTTTTGCCTAGTCTGGTTAACAGTTTTTTCCTAGTCTGGTAAACACTTTTTGCCTAATCTGGTAAACAGTTTTTGCCTAATCTGGTAAACAGTTTTTGCCTAATCTGGTAAACAGTTTTTGCCTAGTCTAGTAAACAGTTTTTGCCTAATCTGGTAAACAGTTTTTGCCTAGTCTAGTAAACAGCTTTTGCCTAATCTGGTAAACAGTTTTTTTCCTAGTCTGGTAAACAGTTTTTGCCTAATCTGGTAAACAGTTTTTGCCTAATCTGGTAAACACTTTTTGCCTAATCTGGTAAACAGTTTTTGCCTAATCTGGTAAACAGTTTTTGCCTAGTCTAGTAAACAGCTTTTGCCTAATCTGGTAAACAGTTTTTTCCTAGTCTGGTAAACAGTTTTTGCCTAATCTGGTAAACAGTTTTTGCCTAATCTGGTAAACACTTTTTGCCTAATCTGGTAAACAGTTTTTTCCTAGTCTGGTAAACAGTTTTTGACTAATCTGGTAAACAGTTTTTGCCTAATCTAGTAAACAATTTTTGCCTAGTCTGGTTAACAGTTTTTTTCTAGTCTGGTAAACACTTTTTGAGAGCTGAATTGAAGGCTGGTAGTGAAGAGGCAGACAAAGTGAAAAAAAAAGGATGATACAAGTTTTTTTCTTATTTGAAGTTGAAGATGGAAGAGACAGACATAGCAGAAAGACTGCAGAACTGAAATCTTCTTCTTCTGTGTTTCTCTGAAAAGGGTGATTGGCTCATTGTAGTTTGCAGCCAGGCTGTGACATCTGCACCTTTTGACCAAAGAAAGAAAGAAGAGTCAGACATAAAACATCCGATACTAATAACAGTAAAGAGCAAGCAGAATAAGGAATTGCAGTCTTCTTCTTTATCTTCTTCTTTCTTCTTTTATTTACTCCTGGAATGCCTCACAGCATTAGGGCGGGAAGAGATATCAGAAACTGACCCTTCTGTTCCCTTCATATAAAGTACTTCAGTATTTCTGCGAGCCATCTCCTGCACTGTCGACCTCTGGCTCTCTTACCATTATATCTTTGTAACATTGCTCTCTGTGGTGCCCTCTGTGTTGATAGTATTGTTTCATGGCCAAGTCATTCAATTTTGTGTCTACCGATAAAGTTCATTCTTGGTTTTGTGCCGACTCTCCTCTTGACATCATCATTCCTAAGTTGATCTTTCCTTGTTATACCTAGCATGAGAGGTTAATATCCATTTTTGTTTGCATGAAAAGAGTGGTTGGCTCATTTTTTGGTTTGCAGCTCGACTGTAGTGCCCACACCTATCGGCTTAACATATCTGATTTCACTAATCCCTATTTAGTTGCCAGTTGTCTTATATGACATGCTTGTTAGGGAGAAGTGGGTCTGTTTATTTTGTGTGTATGAGGGGGGGGGGGGGGTGTCTTTTAGTCCAAGGAGATATTTTTATTTTTATTGTAAATATTCATTATCAAAATGTATGTTTAAAAATTGTATACAAAAAAGTCCTATTAATGTGGCTTTGTAACATTATTAGTTTTGTAGTTGAAATAACAGACCAGAGAATCTGTTGATAGTTTTGTAGTTGAGATAACAGACCAGAGAATCTGTTATAGTTTTATAGTTGAAATAATGAGCCAGAGAATCTGTTGATAGTTTTGTAGTTGAAATAACTGACCAGAGAATCTGTTGACTTTTTTTGTCGTCATTCTAATGTAACATAAATGTTGTATTGTTTCCTTCTCATTTTAGTTTAGCAACGTCCCAGTGAGTCGAAGGTACAAGCATTTTGATTGGCTACATGAAAGACTGGAGTGCAAATTTGTCTGTGTGCCCATCCCTCCACTGCCAGATAAGGCTGTCACAGGTGAGAGAGTCACTGTCAGCATACCTATCTTGACCTACAGAGATCTGATATATATGTGTTTATGGGGAATTGTTTAGATATTTAGAATCTAAAAATAACAAAATATTTACTACTCAGAAAAACATTCAAAAGCGTAGCTACAGAAAGAAACCTAATTTTGACATCTAAAATCTGTGTAATTTAATGAGTGACATTGTTCAAATTGCACACAAGAATACCTTAGAGTTCAATCATTCAACAGCTCTTTTACATCTGGGTCTTCAATAGTTTTTAGGTGTGCAGGTTTTCCCAAAAACTGATAAAAACAGTTAACTGATTTGTTCAAAACAGTATAGTATATTTTTTAAAAAGTACAGATTTATCTGCACAGAGGTAGTATAGAAAATCTGCAAACGTAATAATATACAGAAAGTAAGATCACACACACACACATGCGCACAGACAGAGAGAGAGAGGGAGAGAGAGAGATTACTGTATGTTATCTGCCTAATTGTCCATGCCAGATTATCTTACAATGTAGAAAGTACTCCACGAAGGAAGCAGGAGCCTACCGATCAGCTGTAAAATTCCCCCATTTGACAAGTGTTTCCTTATGTCATGTCTGCTTTCCAGAGGGCGAGCTGACCTGGGGCATGACTCAGGACTCTTCTGCTGTATTTGTGCACCCTTGCCAACAAAATGAGACATGGTTGTCGTTATTGACACTTAGATAATGGTGGTTGCCGCTGGTGCATGCCTCCCAGCCACCCTGCACCCAGGAAGGCAGCCATGATCACATTGGCCAGCTTCTCACCAAGGCCAGTTGCCTCATCACTAGCTAGCTTCTTGCTCGCTATGATACCAGACGCCGCACAGTTGCCATATTGTTGCATGTACTCCATTCACAGCTTCACCACAGCACCAACCTTTTGGGCCAAACTCGTGCATTAGGCCTGAAGTCTCCTTTCCTGCCTTTTATGCAGGCAGATTCATCAAATTTTGAAATCTGTAAAATTTCTGTAGCTGTTTCTCTCTCTTGTTTTTTTTTCCCACCAATGCTGAATTGCTAATACCATAGTAGATACAATTGTTACTGGCAGTCATTGACACTTGCAGCAGTCTCTTCAGTCCAAGATAATACATAAATGTGATCCAACTAGGTACTTAAATTTGATCAGTCTGAGATGATACGTGCGTTGATTAGCTCAAGAACATAAGTTAGCTACATGAATTTGATTAGTTCAAGATTTGAGAAGAAAAAATAGACGTACTGCTTCCCTAACAAACATGTCCTAAAAGCCAACTAATGAGGCTTGTTTCCTTCAAGGCCAGAGTTAATCTGCCTTAGATAAAAGAAACAGTCTGCATATAAATAAGATGTGTAAAATGGATGTGTGCTCAAAACTCATGTTCTAGAAGAAGATTTAAGTCCTAAAGTGGATAAACAACCAAAACTTTCCACTGGTGTTTACAGCTGGTAAACGTGAAGCAGAAGAAGAAGAAGCAGAAGAATAAGAATTCAAATAGTTTTGCTTATGCATTGAACATTACAGACTCCACAGAGACTCATATAAATGATGTATAAGCCAAAACAGCTCTCTGCCAGCACCTTCTTGCTGAAGAGACTACCAGAACATGCGCCTGTTTAGAAGGCTGTCCCCTCCTGCTGATGCTACACCGTAACATCTAGTAGACCTGACAACTTAACAACTAAACTTTGAGAAAACATAAGAGGCCTCGAGCTGACATTCCTAACTAAGGGCCTATTGGGGATTAAGTGCGTGACCAGATATCGCTGAAGAAGAAAATATTTAAATTTCAAAATATATTATTTTAGGTAGTTAATTCTTGATGTAAGTGTGTGTGTTGTGTCTCCAGGAAGATACGAGGAGGACTTTGTACAAGAAAGAATGCGACAGTTGCAAGCATGGCTTAATCGGATGGTTCGACACCCTGTGATTTCTAGATCTGATGTGTTTCATCATTTTCTCACCTGTACAGACGAGAAGGTAAGTCTTATCTTAAGTGGAAATTATCTATCTGGCTTTTGATCAACTCTCCCTCAAACCATATTACATACTAAGCCAGAAATCTCTATTTTTGACATGTTTTCTCTCTGTATCATTGTATACAGTAGGGAAATGTTATGAAGCAGCAGACCTGTGGTTTCTGAAACAAATGTTGTCAATTCTATGGGCAACTAGAGTTACTTACAGTGATTGTCTCAAAGAAATTCAAATGGAACAATATACACAACTATAATAGAGAAAGAAACCAGAGGGTTTGGTCATGTGGTGAGAAGAGGGACACTTTAACGTCATTACAACAGGAAAGATCAGTGGTAGAAGATGCAGAGGTACACTGAATGCGATTATGCTGTGTTGTCTAAGAAGTGGTGTGGAATAATATCAGAAACAGAACTGGTTCAGAACATCAATCTTCGTACTTGTGGACGACACTCAGAGGACAGTATGGAATATTAATAGGACCAACCTTTATGAGGACTACACAGCTGGAGAAGTTGGACACCCAACAAGGACATAAATGAAGGCAAGATCTTAAGGGCAGAAGACAGGGCATAATGTCCTTGGAGGGGGAAAAACACAACATGACATTTAAGAAGTAGAGTCACAATTACACACATAAAAACACACACAAGAAGACAAAAAAATAGATGCAAAAAGCGGAACCTTCATTGAGACCACAGTGGAGGACCCAGACACCTTCAGCGTGACAGTATCACACAGCTAGGGATATAAAGCAACAACTGTTGGCATAATAAACTTTTTAAGCTATTGAACACAACAATAGACCACAATTATAACCAAAGCTGTTTTCAGCATGGTTAAAGAAGGTCAACCCCCCCCCCCCCTCCCCCCAAATCCACCAGACTAACCACAAAACACTATCGTCTGGAAAGACGGAAAGGTGCCGATCAATCAATCATCAGTCAACCACAAAACAGTTCAGAACATCAAGGATAGAGGTTTACACCGAGAGAGAAAGATGACCACATCCACCATCTCACAAGACATGTGATGGAAATCACCCTGGTGCTGAAGGGTTTGAAGTAGGCCACGAAATTGCTCTCACATATGAGACCGTAAAAACTGACCAATCCTTTCTCTTCTGAAATCGAACCCAGGCAGATGTACAGATCCGTACACTACCAAGATTTTACACAACATAAGGAAACACTTGTCACAGATCAGTAGGCACACAACATAAGCAAACACTTGTCAAAGATCGGTAGGCACACAACATAAGCAAACACTTGTCAAAGATCGGTAGGCACACAACACAAGGAAACACTTGTCACAGATCGGTAGGCACACAACATAAGGAAACACTTGTCACAGATCAGTAGGCACACAACATAAGCAAACACTTGTCAAAGATCGGTAGGCACACAACACAAGGAAACACTTGTCACAGATCGGTAGGCACACAACATAAGGAAACACTTGTCACATATCGGTAGGCACACAACATAAGGAAACACTTGTCACAGATCGGTAGGCACACAACATAAGGAAACACTTGTCACAGATCGGTAGGCACACAACATAAGGAAACACTTGTCACAGATCGGTAGGCACACAACATAAGGAAACACTTGTCACAGATCGGTAGGCACACAACATAAGGAAACACTTGTCACAGATCGGTAGGCACACAACATAAGGAAACACTTGTCACAGATCAGTAGGCACACAACATAAGGAAACACTTGTCACAGATCTGTAGGCACACAACATAAGGAAACACATGTCAAAGATTGGTAGGCACACAACATAAGGAAACACTTGTCAAAGATTGGTAGGCACACAACATAAGGAAACACTTGTCACAGATTGGTAGGTTCCACTAAACACAGTGTAATTTAATGTGGAGTTAAAAAGTAGGAGAGCTACAGAATGAACATCAAACTTCACATTTTCAGAAATGGAAATCTGGAAAAAGAAAGGCAGAAAAGGACGAATTTCAAGGCGGGAAATTCTTTCAACTGTTACAGACGCCAAATCAACCATTAGCTGTGAAAGACATGTGAGTGACAATTTTGCTATTTGTATGTTTCCATTCTCTCAGTGCACATGTAGTAGATTAGTGAGCTTTTAAATAATGTGTATAAATCTTCAGTATAGTTTGCCATATGTATGGCTCTTTTCATTTGTCATTTCTCTTTCTTCCAAAATTTATCTAATTTTTGGGTAGCTCATATTGTTTCCATCCTAAGTACAGTAGAACCTTGCTTAACGAGCACCTCGCATAACAAGTAATTCGCATAACGAGCAAAACAATTTGTAAAAAATTACTTGCTTAACAAGCGATGTTTCGAATAACGAGTGGCGAGGAGAGGGGAAGTCCCGGATTGTGCGCCTGTTACATCAGTCTGTGTTTAGCACTCGTTCCAGTAGCATCATAGTGTCACTTGTGATCACACATTTGCTCAAATTTGTTTTATATTGTTATATATGTACATGAATCTTCCAGGCCTACAAGATAAAGTCTCTGAAGAATTTAAGTTCATCAAGATCCAGTTTCTGCCTCCCAACACCACTCCGTTACTCCAGCCCATGGACCAGCAAGTTATTTCTAACTTTAAGAAACTCTACATTAAAGCACTATTCGAGGATTGTTTTCAGGTGACTGAAGGGACCAACCTCACTCTCAAAGAGTTTTGGAGACAAATCACTTTCACATCGTTGCCTGCCTCAAGATGATCGATAGGGCGGGAGAAGGGGTTACCAAGAGAATCCTAACTTCTGCTTGGAAGAAGCTTTGGCCGGAGAGTGTTGTCTATTTGTGACTTTTAGGGCTTTGAGACAGTGAAACCTGTAGTCAACGAGATTGTGTCTTTGGTCACTATCACAGGGTTGTAGGTGGATAACAATGATATCAAAGAGATTGTGGAAGAGCACAGCCAAGAGCTGCGTTTTGGAGGAAAGTTTGTCAGAGGAGGTGGAGGAGGTAACAGAAAAGCAACAATTTTCTGGCGAAATAAGAGAAATACTGAAAGCATGGCAAACTGTTGCATCTTACATTGAGAAGCATCACCCTAATAAGGAAGTGGCTATACGGGTGGCATTTTTATTTAATGATAATGCTGTGTCGCATTTTCGCCAAATTTTGAAGCGTCGGCAAAAACAAATCTCTGGACATCTTTCTAGTAAAAAAAATTTTTTTTAGCTATGTATCATAATTATTTTGACTTTTTTTTTCTGCAAATGGAATTTGCATTCCATGTGGGTTGGTTACGCGTTTGAAGAAAAGATGAAGATGATCCACTCTCCTTAACAATATGTATATAATTTTCTTTGAATAAACGCTATACATAGCATTTTGTGAGTATCTTTTTCGACATGGAACGCATTATCGTATTTTACATTAATTTATATGAGAAAAATTGTTTCGCATAACGAGTGTTTCGCTTAACGAGTATGACTCTGGAACGAATTATGTTCGTTAAGCGAGGTTCCACTGTATATCTGTTTCTGTCTTCCGGGACTAGTACTTTCAGGATCATTTCTGTTTCTTTCTTTATTTTATTATCTATTTTTTTTTCTTTAGCTGCGATAGCATAGTTTAGTGTATCTGCCGGCTGACACAGTCCAAGTTTGCTTCCCAGAAGTGACTATATTCTTTTGACTCGGAAAGCATGCTGAGACAAGTTTGCTTCCCAGAAGTGACTATATTCTTTTGACTCGGAAAGCATGCTGAGACAAGTTTGCTTCCCAGAAGTGACTATATTCTTTTGACTCGGAAAGCATGCTGAGACAAGTTTGCTTCCCAGAAGTGACTAAATTCTTTTGCCTCGGAAAGCATGCTGAGACAAGTTTGCTTCCCAGAAGTGACTATATTCTTTTGACTCGGAAAGCATGCTGAGACAAGTTTGCTTCCCAGAAGTGACTATATTCTTTTGACTCGGAAAGCATGCTGAGACAAGTTTGCTTCCCAGAAGTGACTATATTCTTTTGACTCGGAAAGCATGCTGAGACAAGTTTGCTTCCCAGAAGTGACTATATTCTTTTGACTCGGAAAGCATGCTGAGACAAGTTTGCTTCCCAGAAGTGACTATATTCTTTTGACTCGGAAAGCATGCTGAGACAAGTTTGCTTCCCAGAAGTGACTATATTCTTTTGACTCGGAAAGCATGCTGAGACAAGTTTGCTTCCCAGAAGTGACTATATTCTTTTGACTCGGAAAGCATGCTGAGACAAGTTTGCTTCCCAGAAGTGACTATATTCTTTTGACTCGAAAAGCATGCTGAGACAAGTTTGCTCCCCAGAAGTGACTATATTCTTTTGCCTCGGAAAGCATGCTGAGACAAGTTTGCTTCCCAGAAGTGACTATATTCTTTTTGACTCGGAAAGCATGCTGAGACAAGTTTGCTTCCCAGAAGTGACTATATTCTTTTGACTCGGAAAGCATGCTGAGACAAGTTTGCTTCCCAGAAGTGACTATATTCTTTTGACTCGGAAAGCATGCTGAGACAAGTTTGCTTCCCAGAAGTGACTATATTCTTTTGACTCGGAAAGCATGCTGAGACAAGTTTGCTTCCCAGAAGTGACTAAATTCTTTTGCCTCGGAAAGCATGCTGAGACAAGTTTGCTTCCCAGAAGTGACTATATTCTTTTGACTCGGAAAGCATGCTGAGACAAGTTTGCTTCCCAGAAGTGACTATATTCTTTTGACTCGGAAAGCATGCTGAGACAAGTTTGCTTCCCAGAAGTGACTATATTCTTTTGACTCGGAAAGCATGCTGAGACAAGTTTGCTTCCCAGAAGTGACTATATTCTTTTGACTCGGAAAGCATGCTGAGACAAGTTTGCTTCCCAGAAGTGACTATATTCTTTTGACTCGGAAAGCATGCTGAGACAAGTTTGCTTCCCAGAAGTGACTATATTCTTTTGACTCGGAAAGCATGCTGAGACAAGTTTGCTTCCCAGAAGTGACTATATTCTTTTGACTCGGAAAGCATGCTGAGACAAGTTTGCTTCCCAGAAGTGACTATATTCTTTTGACTCGAAAAGCATGCTGAGACAAGTTTGCTCCCCAGAAGTGACTATATTCTTTTGCCTCGGAAAGCATGCTGAGACAAGTTTGCTTCCCAGAAGTGACTATATTCTTTTGACTCGGAAAGCATGCTGAGACAAGTTTGCTTCCCAGAAGTGACTATATTCTTTTGACTCGGAAAGCATGCTGAGACAAGTTTGCTTCCCAGAAGTGACTATATTCTTTTGACTCGGAAAGCATGCTGAGACAAGTTTGCTTCCCAGAAGTGACTATATTCTTTTGACTCAGAAAGCATGCTGAGACAAGTTTGCTTCCCAGAAGTGACTATATTCTTTTGACTCGGAAAGCATGCTGAGACAAGTTTGCTTCCCAGAAGTGACTATATTCTTTTGACTCGGAAAGCATGCTGAGACAAGTTTGCTTCCCAGAAGTGACTATATTCTTTTGACTCAGAAAGCATGCTGAGACAAGTTTGCTTCCCAGAAGTGACTATATTCTTTTGACTCGGAAAGCATGCTGAGACAAGTTTGCTTCCCAGAAGTGACTTTATTCTTTTGCCTCGGAAAGCATGCTGAGACAAGTTTGCTTCCCAGAAGTGACTATATTCTTTTGACTCGGAAAGCATGCTGAGACAAGTTTGCTTCCCAGAAGTGACTATATTCTTTTGACTCGGAAAGCATGCTGAGACAAGTTTGCTTCCCAGAAGTGACTTTATTCTTTTGCCTCGGAAAGCATGCTGAGACAAGTTTGCTTCCCAGAAGTGACTATATTCTTTTGCCTCGGAAAGCATGCTGAGACAAGTTTGCTTCCCAGAAGTGACTATATTCTTTTGACTCGGAAAGCATGCTGAGACAAGTTTGCTTCCCAGAAGTGACTATATTCTTTTGACTCGGAAAGCATGCTGAGACAAGTTTGCTTCCCAGAAGTGACTATATTCTTTTGCCTCGGAAAGCATGCTGAGACAAGTTTGCTTCCCAGAAGTGACTATATTCTTTTGACTCGGAAAGCATGCTGAGACAAGTTTGCTTCCCAGAAGTGACTAAATTCTTTTGCCTCGGAAAGCATGCTGAGACAAGTTTGCTTCCCAGAAGTGACTATATTCTTTTGACTCGGGAAAGCATGCTGAGACAAGTTTGCTTCCCAGAAGTGACTATATTCTTTTGACTCGGAAAGCATGCTGAGACAAGTTTGCTTCCCAGAAGTGACTATATTCTTTTGCCTCGGAAAGCATGCTGAGACAAGTTTGCTTCCCAGAAGTGACTATATTCTTTTGACTCGGAAAGCATGCTGAGACAAGTTTGCTTCCCAGAAGTGACTATATTCTTTTGACTCGGAAAGCATGCTGAGACAAGTTTGCTTCCCAAAAGTGACTATATTCTTTTGACTCGGAAAGCATGCTGAGACAAGTTTGCTTCCCAGAAGTGACTATATTCTTTTGCCTCGGAAAGCATGCTGAGACAAGTTTGCTTCCCAGAAGTGACTATATTCTTTTGACTCGGAAAGCACGCTGAGACAAGTTTGCTTCCCAGAAGTGACTATATTCTTTTGACTCGGAAAGCATGCTGAGACAAGTTTGCTTCCCAGAAGTGACTATATTCTTTTGACTCGGAAAGCACGCTGAGACAAGTTTGCTTCCCAGAAGTGACTATATTCTTTTGACTCGGAAAGCACGCTGAGACAAGTTTGCTTCCCAGAAGTGACTATATTCTTTTGACTCGGAAAGCATGCTGAGACAAGTTTGCTTCCCAGAAGTGACTATATTCTTTTGATTCGGAAAGCACGCTGAGACAAGTTTGCTTCCCAGAAGTGACTATATTCTTTTGACTCGGAAAGCATGCTGAGACAAGTTTGCTTCCCAGAAGTGACTATATTCTTTTGACTCGGAAAGCATGCTGAGACAAGTTTGCTTCCCAGAAGTGACTATATTTTTTTGACTCGGAAAGCATGCTGAGACAAGTTTGCTTCCCAGAAGTGACTATATTCTTTTGACTCGGAAAGCATGCTGAGACAAGTTTGCTTCCCAGAAGTGACTATATTCTTTTGACTCGGAAAGCACGCTGAGACAAGTTTGCTTCCCAGAAGTGACTATATTCTTTTGACTCGGAAAGCACGCTGAGAATGGTGAAGGCGGGTATGCTTCGAGCAGAATGGCCAGCATCACTTCAGAAGTACAGGGTACATAACATCCTTTGGATATTTTCTCCAGGGAATGCAGATGTGTTAAAAATGCACAGGTGGACAGACTTGCTGGTTCTGCGCCACTTGTGGTAAATGTGTAATTGACAAGCTGGACGTTGTCAGAGCTCTTTGGGATGGATTGAGCAGTGTGGATGCACACTTAGATTATAAAGGTTTAGGGAAAAAAATGGTGCAACAAGGAATGGCTAGGGGATCTGATTGACACTCCATACTAAGAGGAAAGGCAAGACGGACTTAATATTAGACTGTTATTAGTACCAACAGTGTTGGAACTCTTCACTGGCTGCTGTAGATAGGGACGCAGCACTTATGGGAATGTCCATATGCTATGATGTCAGTTCTTAAAACTCAACTCGAATCAAAGTTTTTCATAGCATAATCCAGAAACATGTATGCACAGTAAATGACTAAGGCAGTCGCTAGAGGTGCCAGCAGCTGCAGCACTCATCACAAAATGTGTTTGTCATTGATGGAAGTAGTTAGTGGTGTTAAGCTGCAGTCGCTAGAGGTGCCAACAGCAGCAGTCATCACAAAGTTTGTCATTGATGGAAGTAGATAATAGTATTAAGCTGCTGATACAGACATGCCATTATAATGCACTGGGCACTTTGCCAGCCTGAATGCAAGCTAGTCACAAGCCAACACTAACTGCCGAGGTATTTTTGCCATATTTCACGTCAGGGTGGCCTGGAGAGAACTGTGATGGAGGAAACAGTTTCTGGAAAATGAGGCCTAGGCATACCTCCATGAAGGTGGATGCAAGACATTGGAGATAGATTCACGATGAAAACACATAGGGCTGGGGAATTGGCTAGAGAAAGAGAGACATTCAGGCTTCCAGTGATGAGACTGACGTTCTGTGAAGGACCTGCTGACTGATATTGGTGGGTGGCTGTGGGCCAGATGGAATACATCTCATAGTGTTGGGCCCAAGATTAAATAGTTTCTTGTATCTTGTACTTATTTTCTTCATACTGTAAACATGAACTTTAAGTGTTTTAATGTTCTAGTCTTGTAACTCTTTCACTACCAACAGGTTTCACAACAAATGGTCCGATGGGAAGGAGATAAACACTAGGAAAATGATGAATGGACGTTACATAGAACGGCTGAAATTGTGATAAAAGTGGGCACCATGAATGCCAGATTGTTGGCATGCTCTGATCAAATGTAAAATGTTAGGGAACACAAGCAGCTAGTGTTGAGATTTGGACAGAAGATATGTTCACACACTGCGATGACCTGGGATCCAAAGAGTTAATAATGTGCATATGTTTTCCACAGAGAAAGTAAAATGGAGGTGTTCTGCAAGTTTGTCGCAGGCATGACCGACAACGTCAAAACACTTATAACAGTCAATCAGGAGTATTATAAAAAGCAAATGGGACGTAAGTATTTTGGTTTTGTATGCTTACAGATATATTGTTAGCCGGTTTACCCTTAACATTATGCACACGCTTACAATCTGTATCTTTTTATGCACACAGTTTCTAGGAGGGTCAACTGGGGCCCTCACAGGAAGCAAAGAATAGTGACACTTCACCCTACTAGGCATGTCATAAGAGGCAACTAAGGGGTAGGGTTGGGCTGGAGGTTGGCTACCTCATCCTGTAAAAACCATAGCCATAAAAACCAACCAATCATGGATAAGTCAAAAAGAGAAGCAAGTAAATCCCAGCCAACCAAAATGAGAGGAGGCTTTTCAAATAGACACACACTGAGAAAACAGGAGAACAGCATAACCAGAATGTCTTTGCATTGGAACCCACAGGGGCATAGGAATAAAGGAATGCGAAAAAACACATGGAGAAGAGAGCTGGAGAATGAAGTTAGAAAGATGGGGAGGACATGGGGAGAGCTCCATGCAATGGCGAAGGATAGAACGACTTGGCGTGAGTTGGTTGAGGGCCTATGCACCATTGAGGGATAGAAAGGCAGAAGAAGAAGACAATTTAGATGATTGGCCCAGTGTTTTAATAATGAATGCCAGCTAATTTTCAGAATTGTCTGGGGATTTTCTAGGATATGATGAAGAGGTGGGGATGAAGAAAGCTGGCCACCTCACATCATGACCTAGAATATGTAAAGCTAATTTACACAGTTTAACTGTTAACTTGTAGTCAGCAAATTTACACAGTTTAACTGTAAACTTGTAGTCAGCTAATTTACACAGTTTAAATGTAAACTTGTAGTCAGCTAATTTACACAGTTTAACTGTTAACTTGTAGTCAGCTAATTTACATAGTTTAACTGTTAACTTGTAGTCAGCTAATTTACATAGTTCAACTGTTAACTTGTAGTCAGCTAATTTACATAGTTTAACTGTTAACTTGTAGTCAGCTAATTTACATAGTTCAACTGTTAACTTGTAGTCAGCTAATTTACATAGTTCAACTGTTAACTTGTAGTCAGCTAATTTACATAGTTCAACTGTTAACTTGTAATCAGCTAATTTACATAGTTTAACTGTTAACTTGTAGTCAGCTAATTTACATAGTTCAACTGTTAACTTGTAGTCAGCTAATTTACATAGTTTAACTGTTAACTTGTAGTCAGCTAATTTACATAGTTCAACTGTTAACTTGTAGTCAGCTAATTTACATAGTTCAACTGTCAACTTGTAGTCAGCTAATTTACATAGTTCAACTGTTAACTTGTAGTCAGCTAATTTACATAGTTTAACTGTTAACTTGTAGTCAGCTAATTTACATAGTTCAACTGTTAACTTGTAGTCAGCTAATTTACATAGTTTAACTGTTAACTTGTAGTCAGCTAATTTACATAGTTCAACTGTTAACTTGTAGTCAGCTAATTTACACAGTTTAACTGTTAACTTGTAGTCAGCTAATTCACACAGTTTAACTGTTAACTTGTAATCAGCTATTGTATACAGTTTAACTGTTAACTGAAACAGTCACTTAATGCACACAAGCAGTCTCTGATAAAAACATGTAATAGCTGTTCATTCTGTATTCCTTTACAGCATTTAGAAGAGAATATAACAAAATTGGATCATCATACAAACAGTTGGCTCAGACGTTCAGCTTGGACGACGGCTCTTGTGAGTACGAATTGAGTCTCACTGGCTGATCATTATTTGTATACTTATGATTTTTTCCCATGACTGCAAAAGCTGTGGCTACAAAGTGGCTAGCTTTGGTTACAAAGTGGCTAGTTCACAGCTTTCTGGAAACAGTGTCCTGGCAACAGTCCAGACTCATCATTTCTTTAAAAAAAAATAAGTTGGCAGGATTATACTGATAATTTTAACTTTGATGAACCTTCTGGTAACTTATTTTGTCTGTAGAATGCTGAGAATCCTATAGTCAGCTGAAAAGACCATCTTCATACAACACGGGGCCAATTGACAAAGACTTTTGAGTAATCACGTCACAGTCTTCAATGTTTGACCACATTTAGACACAAGAGCGTCTTGAGAAAATTGTCACAGTTGTGAAGATTGAGTGTATTAGAGGAGGAGGGGGGGGGGGGGGGGGGGGGGGTTGATAAAGGGAGAACATGCTGAACTGGTTTGTCAAGTGGTGCTGAAGATGATAGCTGAATATTGCTGGGTTGCAAATCACTGTATCAGACTAGTCCCCACAGATTTAGTTAGAGATTTGGCTTCTGTCACTTTGTAATGAATGTTATGTTGGTGTATGTGAAGAAAGTTGTTTTCAGTTATGAATGTTTGCTGCTTGTTATTTCATCTGTATTTATGATTAATGGGAAATAACTCGGCGCCTTTTTGAATGATTCATCCACTTCTTGACTTGATCAGAGCTGTTTGGACACAATACAGGAAGTGACCATAAGTGATCCATCAAACAACATGACTGACATTCAAGAACTGTCAATATTCTGTGCATCCAGCACATTAATGCCCTTAACTATGCAGATCATTGCAACATTAACCCTACATTGATACCCTAAACTGTACCACCCTGATCATTGTGATGTTAACCCTTCATGGATACCTGTGACACAGTCGACTCTTTTGTTCTCAACCCAGGTTCACTTATTGTCTGTCACAAGGGTGGCAGGTGATTGTTTACAGACGAGGAGAAAAATGGTCGTGTCGTTAATGGTGACGATGATGCACGCCTAGCACTCGTTGCATGCCTCTCACGTGCCTTGGTGGAATAATAAAGTGTCTGGAAACTACTATGCTCTCCTTTAAACTTCTTTAATATGATACTTCAACAATGTCACACAATTAAAAATGATATTCTTTATTTACTTTGTAAACTGGTTCTATTTTCTCTAACTGCCACCGGGCTACTAGTGCAGGTTGGGCTAAAAGGTTTGTTTATCTAATGCCGTCTAACTACTTATCTATGCTCTGGCCTCTTCTTCATCTGTCTCCGAGTCAGTATCTGACCCCGAAGTCGTATCTACACCTGAATCCGGCTGGACCCATGGGTGGTGGGAAATGTGAAGCTCTCTTACTATGAAGCGGTATACAAGAGTTGATCCATCTTGTGTAAAAATAATCGTGACCAGTCGGAATGGGCCACTGTTTCTGACAGTAATTCTAATCGAATACATATATATATATATATCTTTAACTATCTGCCTCAGTCTATCTCCGTTTATCCTCTGGCCTGTCTGTTTATCCTCTGGCCTGTCTCCGTCTGTGTCTTGTGTCTCCTCTATCTGTGTCTATCCTCTGTCTATCCCCGTCTAACCTCTGGCCTGCCTGTGTCTATCCTCTGGCCTGCCTCTGTCTGTGTCTGTGTGTGTGTCTGTATTCTGTAAGTTTATCCTCTGGCCTGCCCGTCTCGTGTCTGTGTGTCCTCTGGCCTGTCCGTCTCGTGTGTCTGAAAGGTTCCGGGCAATCGTTTATAAAGGGGTTACTAGCCTGCTCCCAGGGGGCTCCTAACCCTCGTTGTTTTGCAGATTTCTGCAGCGACCTGAGCTGGCCGGGTCCGTGGAATTTTACCTAATGATGTAAACTAATTGCTTTGGTGCTGGACGGGGAAAGTCACATGATGTCAAATCAGACGACTCAAAGTACGTGGGAAACAAGAGTAGGGACCTAAGTGATATAAGTGCTTGTTAAGCACAAGTTCTAACAATAAGGGTGAAGGCCACAAGGGGTCTTGTCTTGCAAACAGCACAACACTAAAAAGGGGGTAGGGGTACTGACTTTGCTACATACCCTAAACTGTACCACCCTGATCATTGTGATGTTAACCCTTCATTGATATCCTAAACTGTACCACCCTGATCATTGTGATGTTAACCCTTCAATGATACCCTAAACTGTACCACCCTGATCATTGTGATGTTAACCCTTCAATGATACCCTAAACTGTACCACCCTGATCATTGTGATGTTAACCCTTCATTGATACCCTAAACTGTACCACACAACGTTGCAACATTAACCTTGTCTCTTCTGTCATCAGATTCCCTGGCTTTGACCGCAGCCATAGAGTATACTGGAGATGCTTTTATCGAGATAGGAGAGATGTTTGCCAGACAGGTAACATCCTAGAGACTAAAAATATTTTCTAATTGGAAATTTAAATAATGAACACAAACATTATATTGCCTGGCATATTTTGCTGAATCTCATCAGGCGTATTTAAACATTGTTTCTCTGGCCTCTTCACAAGGACAAATAACAGATGGAACTACTCTGGTCTGTTAGCCCATGAAACAATAAGTAGAACTACTCTAACAGAACCGTTAACCCACTGAAACAACGATAGATAGAACTACTCTATGACAGAACCGTTAACCCACTGAAACAATGATAGATAAAACTACTCTGTGACAGAACCGTTAACCCACTGAAACAATGATAGATAGAACTACTCTGTGACAGAACCGTTAACCCACTGAAACAATGATAGATAGAACTACTCTGTGACAGAACCGTTAACCCACTGAAACAATGGTAGATAGAACTACTCTGTGACAGAACTGTTAACCCTCTTAAACAGTGATAGATAGAACTACTCTGTGACAGAACCGTAAACCCACTGAATCAATGATAGATAGAACTACACTGTGACAAAACCATTAACCCACTGAAACAATGATAGATACTCTGTGACAAAACTGTTAATCCCTGAAACAAGGATATGTAGAACTGCTCTGTGAAAGAACTGTTAACCCATGAAACAGTGGCAGATGGAACTATTCTGACAGAACTGTTAACCCATGTAACAGTGATAATTGAAACTACTCTGTGACAGAACTGTTAACCCTGAAACAGTGATAAGTGGAACTATTCTGTGACAGAACTGTTAACCCTTGAAAAAATGGCATTTGGAACTACTCTGTGACAGAACTGTTCACCCATTGAAACAGTGATAGATGGAACTAATGTGTGACAGGTCTGTTAGCCCATGAAAACAATGATAGATGAAACTACTCTATGACAGAACTGTTAACCCTTTGATCAGTAACAGAACTGTTAACCCTTTGATAAGTAACATAACTGTTAACCCTTTGATCAGTAACATAACTGTTAACCCTTTGATAAGTAACAGAACTGTTCACCCATTAAAACAGTGTTAGATGGAACTCTTCTGTGATGCTATGGCATCTATTTTATTCTGTTACAGCCTCCTCAAGATGCCTATCCACTGATTGAGTCACTGTACGAGTATAAAGGTCTTCTGCAGACGTACCCGGATGTGATTAAAGTTCATGAGGTGGGTTTGTATGTTCTGTATAAAGTTGTTTACTTGTGTATGTTTTGATGAAAGCCTTAGAACTTATGGACAACAACACAGAAAAATGAGGGATTAGTGTCAATCTTTCCCGCATGGATTTCAGGGTCCTGTTGTGGGGGGGGGGGGGGGGGGGGGGGTGGGGAGAATTCGGGACACCCCTAAAAGCGCTCTATCCCCATCTTCAGCAGCATGTGAAGAGTTAAAATTCTGATGGTACCAATAACAAAAAATTACAATAATTACATCATTAAAGGAGATCTTATGAGGTGTGTTCTGTGAAAGAAATATTTTACAAAACAAACTATATTTAGCATTCAGAGTGACTGTAATTGTTGTCCAGACAACTGTTCGGTGTTAAAGCAACTGACGATTGTTGGTCTCACTCTCATGCAGGGTGCTATAGGTAAAGCAAAAGACTGTGCCAAGCTGCAAGATGAAGGCAGGATGACAGAATCTGAGGTGGCCAGAGTGTTGACACGAGCAGACATCATCTCCTACGGCACTATGGCAGAGATGAACAACTTTCAGCATGAGAGAGTCCATGACTTCAAGTGTATGATGCAGAAATACCTGCAGAATCAGATCGATTTCTATAAGAGGGTAGGTGCTGCTTGTACGGGATGTTGTGTGTGTGAAGTTTGTACATGATGTTGTGGGGTATGTGATGTCTGTTTGTGATGTTGTTTATGTATTTTTGTGTATGTGATGTATGTATATGATGTTGTGTATGTGATTTCTGTTGTGTATGTGATGTATGTATATGATGTTGTGTATGTGGTATTATGTATTTGATGTTGTGTATGGGATGTTATGTATACATGGTTGTGTATGTAGTGTTATGTATATGATGCTGTGTATGTGTTGTTTTATATGTGTTGTTATACATATGATGTGTGCATGATGTTGTATAAACATTGTTGTGTATATGATAATGTGTACACGATGTTAGGCATATGGTGATTGTATATGATGTTTAGAATATCATGTCTCTATGTGATGTTGTTTATATCATGTCTGTGTGTGATGTTTTGCAATGTGAAGATGTGTATGTGATGTTTGGACACAGTTTTGTTTGTGTAATGTTTCTATAGGATGCTAAGTATGTGATGTTGGCTGTGCAACATGTTAAGGAATAACTTAGAAAACTTGCTGGTAACTGGACTGATGGAAAGAGATCAAGGGGGAGACAAAGGCAAACCTGGATGGCCTGGCCACATGCTTGGGGTGACAAGAGCAATGACCCTGTCATGATTTTGATGGTCGTGTAGAATGGCCTAAACTTATTGGCAAGGTTCATTAAACTGATGATAGTGATGTGTAAAAATGTATAACATAGCTAAATCAGATGAAAGATCTTTCTGTTTTACTTTTCAGTTGACAAACAAGTTGGAAGATGCTCTGGAACACTACAGCAATGTGTGATGGGACTCATTAGCCACTTTTTTGCCAGGTCACAGTCGCATCTTTAAACCAAGAGGATGTATAACTTTTTGTGTGTGTCAGAGACAATTTTGTAATTGCATACACAGATGTTTCACATGGACACAGAAGTGGCATCTTCACACAGATTTTGATGTTTACAAGTTTTATGTTTCTTCACTTGTCGAACTTCTTGTGTCAGCTGCACAACTGATTTTCCTGAATGTAATTCCAAACAGATGTATTCAGCCAAAGTAAAATTATGCAAAATATTTTTGCACTTTGATGTCCATACCAAAGTTATCGACCATGATAATTTTTCATTTAAATTTTGACAAGTTTATGTATGCTGATGATGCAGAGCGAATGGCTGAGAGGTTAGAGTGTCCAGAAACCAGACAGATTCCTATCCACTGTCGTACAATTTAAGATACCAGTTTCATATTTAACAGCTGTTGTGAGGTGTTGTTTAACATGGTGATACAATTTAAGATTACCATTTCTTAAGTAGTAGCTATAATGATGTCATTCTTAAGGCTCAGAGCCTCTCCTTCCCCTCTTGCACAGCAAAAGTGGTAAATAAATACAGGCAGTAATTGGTGGCTCTTAGTAGTGGTGTAGTTGTTAGTGCAGCCACCTAACAACCCTGGATTTCATTTCCAGTAGAGGCTAGACTGGACCTGTTTCCAAGGAGTGTCAGTCTGACTTGATTTACTCTAATTATTCATTTATTCAGTGTTGATCATCTGCTTCTAGTCATGCAGTCTTTTGCCATTAACTTGCATTAGAAAAACATAGCAACAGTTCTTATGTTAGTTTTGGCTTCTTTGTCTTGTTGAGGCTGTTCGTTCCCAACAAGCAAGACGTGCAGATGAGAGTGTTTTCTGAACAAAAATGTGCCGTAGAATTTTATATATTGATGGACCGATTTTTATGAGGACATTTGTTGTTAAATTTAGGGAATATGCTATTGGACGCTCATAAGATTGCAGGACAGTATCTGGATGGGTTAAAGGTGTCAAAGTCTGCTTTGAATACAGTACAAAGATGTGTGCAAGTGGGACATGAATGATACAGGTGTTGAGGTGGATTTGTGGGAACAGAATGCTTGGACCGTGTAGTATGGTGGAGGAAATAGGATAGGGGAGAAAATGAGTGCAGGTAAGTTAATGTTTAATTAAGAATCGAGGTCACAGCCCTCGGGGAAAGTCCCATGAGCTCTCCATTCACATCTTCAGCAGCAAGGGCAGTGTTCCAGTTCCGATGGTACCAATAACAGTCTGTTTTTTCATCAGTCTCAGCTTTCCTCTTGAGTGTTGATCATCAACCAGCACTATTCTCAAACCACGATGATCCATCTGTGCCTCCGCACTGTTCACTCACCCCCCAAAGGGCCTCTACAACATCTAGCTTGTCTTGCGTCAGTTTACCACCAAGTTGTGCAGAGCCAGTCAGCCATTCTGTTTTACTGTTCATTTCCCAATACACCAAAAGGATCTGGAGGGAATATCCAAAGGACATTACCTACCCAGGAGCTCTGGAGTGATGCCTGCTACTCTTCATGGAACATACATGTTGCCACCTTTCGCAACATGCTCTGTGAGTCGATTACACTTATGACATGTATGTACAATTGATTCTCAAGCCTGAAGCAGGCTACAGTGACTGCCTCCACCTCCATTTTCGAACTAGATGTTGTGATGTCATATGCCAGGCTTTGTTTTGCTAAGATTATGAATTTCGATAAATGCTGAGCATCTGAGAAGAATCATATTAAATATGTGTGATGGCAACAACGGTCCTGAAGTCCAATTTGCTGCCTGTAAAAGGTTTTTTAATGCAAGCATGTCTGACTACGCACCTCGCCTTCGCCATGTGCTGTGATTTCTATTCCTCATAGAACAGTATGACATCGTCATCCAGAAAGATCAAAAGGTGTTTTACAAGCCAAGGCTGTTGTTTCTAAGTACTCAAGGCAGTCAGTGGTCATTTTTGTTAAATGTTTGTTTCCTGTCGTTTTATGTTAATTTTTAAAAGATTCTTTCGATATTTTTTTTTTCTGTAAAAAAAAAAAAACACTTGGTGAAAATAATTGACTTTTAAGTTTTCACATGGTGTGAAAATTCAGGAGCAGAAATTGTGTAATATTGTTCCTGTTCTTTGGGAGCTAAGATGTGAATTAGTGAAAAATAGAAGCAATTAATAGATGATGATAAATGAACATTAGCAAGATAGTAGTAGTAAGTAATAGATGACAATTTTGGAGATAGATGAATGTTTTCAAGATAGTGAGATCAATGGTTATTTTGCGGGAAATTAACATTAACAGTATAAAAACCGGTGATAGAGTGAAATGATGATGATGAATGAACATTGACACAATACTAACCAGTGAAAGACATAAATGATGGTGATAAATGAACATTGACAATATAACAACCAGTTATAGATAGAAATATCGAAAACATGGAGAACAAGTAAAACAGTTACTAATAAACTACAAAGATTCATTAACTGGTGCCTATGCAGAATAGAGGGGAAAAAACCGGAATGATAGAATCACTGATGTTAAGCTTTGGGAGAGAACGAAACTAGTTCCAGTAGACCAAGAGGGAAGAAAAGACGCTGGCATTGGATAGGGCACATATTGAGAAAGTGGAAAAACAATATAACTAGAATAGAACCCACAAGGGCATAAGAATAAAGACAAACCAAAAACTTATGGAAAAGGGAGTTAAAGAGTGAATTAAAACGATGGGGAGAGAACTGCATGCGATAGCGAAGGATAGAATAATGTGGTGTGTGTTAGTTGATGGCCTATGCTCCATTGAGGGATAGAAGGCAGAAGAGGAATAGAGAGGTGGATAAAAACAAATAAAATTACTGGAACCAATATTGATGTCAGTTTGTGATTAATGAACATTGAAAATCTCTGTTGATAAATGCATTTAAGGTAAATATAAATATGAGAAAATAATAATGGCCAGTTTTTGAGGACTTCTCTCAATAGCATAACAATATTATATTTGTTACCCCCCCCCCCCCCACCCGTGTGGGTTCCGGGGCCCTATTATAGGGAAAACAAGAATAGACCCATTGCCTACCCAAAAGTATGTCGTAAGAGTCGACTAATTGGGAGCTTTCTTCAAAGTCTGAGTGCATCTGCCTGAGAGGCAAGGAACCAACAGTCTGCACACAAATGTGTCAGATCTGTCAAACGGGTGCACACTCATCACTCAGGTTCAGGAACAGGACTGCAGTCCAGAAGTGGATGAACAACCAGAGCTTTCCACCAGTTTAGATCTGGTGAACACGAAGAAGAAGAAGATATTTGTTACTGCGGCAGGTTTGTTTGTACAACATGATCTTGTGATAATGTTTTCCTTCGGATTTATTTGTTGATGTCAGTGATTACAGCAAGACCGGTAAACTTTGTGACTCTCAAATTGTGTATTTTTGTCTACATTAGTAGATTTTGTGTGATTGGTTCCAGGTCTGTTTTTGCTAAATTTAAGAACTAGGAGCTTTCGATGGCTTTATGATGGGAAGGTTAAAAAAATTAAGGAACTTGTGATGGTAGCGTTCCCATCCACCTTCAAAAACTAGGAACATGATAGTTTCATTCCACCCAGCTTGAAACACTAGGAACTTGTTATGGCCTCATTCCACCCAGCTTGAAACACTAGGAACTAGTTATGGCTTCATTCCACCCAGCTTGAAACACTAGGAACTAGTTATGGCCTTATTCCACCCAGCTTGAAACACTAGGAACTAGTTATGGCTTCATTCCACCCAGCTTGAAACACTAGGAACTTGTTATGGCTTCATTCCACCCAGCTTGAAACACTAGGAACTTGTTATGGCTTCATTCCACCCAGCTTGAAACACTAGGAACTAGTTATGGCCTCATTCCACCCAGCTTGAAACACTAGGAACTAGTTATGGCCTTATTCCACCCAGCTTGAAACACTAGGAACTAGTTATGGCTTCATTCCACCCAGCTTGAAACACTAGGAACTTGTTATGGCTTCATTCCACCCAGCTTGAAACACTAGGAACTTGTTATGGCTTCATTCCACCCAGCTTGAAACACTAGGAACTAGTTATGGCCTCATTCCACCCAGCTTGAAACACTAGGAACTTGTTATGGCCTTATTCCACCCAGCTTGAAACACTAGGAACTAGTTATGGCTTCATTCCACCCAGCTTGACACACTAGGAACTAGTTATGGCTTCATTCCACCCAGCTTGAAACACTAGGAACTAGTTATGGCTCATTCCACCAAGCTTGAAACACTAGGAACTAGTTATGGCTCATTCCACCCAGCTTGAAACACTAGGAACTAGTTGTGGCTTCATTCCACCCAGCTTGAAACACTAGGAACTAGTTATGGCTCATTCCACCCAGCTTGAAACACTAGGAACTAGTTATGGCTCATTCCACCCAGCTTGAAACACTAGGAACTAGTTATGGCTTCATTCCACCCAGCTTGAAACACTAGGAACTAGTTATGGCTCATTCCACCCAGCTTGAAACACTAGGAACTAGTTATGGCTCATTCCACCAAGCTTGAAACACTAGGAACTAGTTATGGCTTTATTCCACCCAGCTTCAGAAACTGGGATCTTTCTACTGCATATAGAAATAGGAATCAACATTTTACATACAGGTTCTCTGATGTTCCTAAAACAGATGATTCATTAAGATATTGGTGAAGCACAAAAAAGTCAGATATAATTTTAACATGTGTGGAGAAATTGAGAAGGAGATTAGAGCCCCAATGGCTCCGTCTGGAATGCTGTGTTGGTAATCCTCACTAATCTTTAACAAGCCTTTTTATGATCATGTAAAGAATTATCCTTGTTGAATAACGAACCAAAACCATGCATAGTTTTGTGCTTCTTTTAGAATCAAGACACTTCTGACCAAAGAAATACCTTGCCAGCCATGTAAGGCACTGAATGTTTTTAAAGAGATTCTGTGTCTTACAGCTGTCAATCAT